TCTTCAATAGCTGAGACGCCTCCAATCCTCTCAAGTGTTTTATTGTCTGGTTCTTCATCGACTCCTATGGCCATTATAGCTTGTTTCCTCACAACTCTTCTTCCAACACTCATGAAATTCACATTGACGTTTTGCTCTCCGAGTATGTTACCTACTTGCCCAATCATCCCTGGTTGATCCACCTGCCTGCACAATATCAGATTCCCTTCAAGGCTCACATCCACAGCGAATGATCCAACGCATGTCAAATGCGGAACTCCATACTTCACCCTCCCTTCGATACTTATAGCTCCACAATCAGAGACAGCACCAGCAAAACTTGACTCCACATTCGATATCTGAACTTGGATCGAATCAACAGGGTACTCTGGTGATGAATCAACCACCATTCGTTCCTCGCTGATACGTAGACCCTTTTGCTTAGCTATGAAATCAGCATTCACCAAGTTGACATATGAATCTGAGATCGGTTCAATGATTCCCTTTGTGATCATCGCACGGAGTAGTCTAGTGTCCAAATCATCTCGGTCACGAGCTGACCGATACACGACCTTGATGGACTGTACTCCTTTACCTCCAGATGCTAACTGCACAGCTAACCTACCAAGCTTCTCAGCTAAGACAATGTAAGGAGCCAATTCAGATAAGACCTCAGGAGCAACCATTGGAGCATTGACTGCGGTAGCTGATAGCTCGCCTTTCAACGCCCCTGCCACTGCCTCTGCTATCTCGATGGCTACACCTTCCTAAAAGATCAAGAACCATTCATCTCAATCTTATACGCTCGAAGAGAGGTGTACAGAGAGTAGGATCAAAAAATTGTATGTACCTGTGCTTCTTTTGTGCTAGCTCCCAGATGAGGTGTTACTGTCACATTTTCATGTTGAATCAATTTGCTGTCTTTCGATGGTGGTTCCTCGCAGAAGACATCTAATGCTGCCTGTTCAAGTTTCACAAATCCCAATTAAAATCCAGTTTCACACGAACCCAATTGATACAACCCTAGAATTTCGAAATTTGTTTCATTTGAGATTCATGTTTCATGAATCATGTTTCAAAATCCAAAATTTCAATCCAAAAATTTCGAAACGCACCTGAGCGACGATACCCGAATCGAGAGCCCTAACGAGAGCATCCTCATCGATGACGCCGCCTCTAGCGACATTGATGAGACGAACGCCTTTCTTCATCTTGGAGAAGGTTTGGTCGTTGAATACCTTCTTCGTGGCGGGGGTTAAGGGCATGTGTAGAGAGACGAAATCGGCGGTGGCGATAGCTTGGTCGAAGGAAACCAGATCGACGCCGAGGGCTCTGGCTCTGTCAGCTGGAGCGTAAGGGTCGTGCGAGATAACGTTCATGCCGAGACCCTTGGCTCTCCTCGCCACCTCCGTCCCGACTTTCCCGAAACCCATCACCGCCAACGTTTTTCCGACGAGCGATACGCCGACGTATTTGCTCCTCTCCCATTTTCCTGGAAAAATAATAACTCAACTGTGAATTTTCGGAAAATAACTCGGAGGGATAATCATCTTATTATGCGACGGACTGTAACAAGCTCAGTTCCACTCAAATTGACCATTTTTACAAGGAAAATTACAGTTTACACAGAATGACAAAAAAAAGAAGTCAATTTTAACTTTTAAGATCATTATTTGGTTGATATTTTACTTAGAAATTATTGCCAAAGAAATTATTGTAGTTGATCTCTCCATTTTCTGTCTCAATCGGATATTGATGCTTTGACTGACTATTCCACCGTAAAACCAGAATCAAATAATTGAGTTATGCATGATTATTTCTCTCAAAGACCCACTTGTATCATGACTATAATTAAATTTAGATTTAAATACCTAAAAGCAGTTTATTATTGAACAAAGAATATTCTTCAGTCAAGTTACTATACTCATAATGTTCCAAAGTTCCAAAATGGGTGAAAAAATAAAATAAAGTATCAGCCTATCGGGTAATTGAATCATTTCTTCAACTTCATTTTAGGTTTATAAAGACAAGGAGACTCCAATATTTTTGGTGTAATATAGTTGGTGAATACTGACTCAAGAGGAAACCAAAAAAATGAATATGAGAGAGGTTCATATTATAGTAGTGGCCCCTGACTTTCTTACACTCAGAGCCTAGAGGGCCCAGACGTAATAAAGGGGCCCAGATTTTACTCTTGGCAGAATTTTTTTCTTTTGCCTTTTGACACAGGTTAAATGTTTTATACTCCACTCGACAGGGAAAAAACTTGTTTTCCCCATTTTACCGGAGATATAAATATAAATCTCCCTCTCGATCAGAAATTATACGTACATGATAGATGATACATACACAAACGGTAAGACGGTCGTGAGAAAAGTCACGTTTGATATTATGTTGTTCTACTTACGTAAACGAATTTTTATGCTATTTTTTACTACCATTTCCATTATGACTTTTCTACTATATAACGACAGATTTACCGCTAATACACTATAGTGGCATATCTCCAATTTCAATTCAACAATAATTACAAAAAACACTAACACCACTAAATTGTATAACTATTCAAAAATGGACCATGGTGCTTGAGAGATCTGATGACCAACATATTATAATATATATTTTTTAAAGAAACACCTAACAAATAACAAATTTAATCAACTTTAAATTATTCTATTAAGTAACCTTTGTTTTTTTTTTTTTTTTTTTTTTTTTTGGTAAGATGTTAAATAAGTAACCTTTGTTTGTAGATACATATGTTGTTTAAATCTAGATCCAATTATAAAATTTCGTTGTCATTGTTTCTATGTCATTTAAAAGAAAAAAAAAACTAATCGGAATATTCCCGGGAACGTACCGGCTTTAATGGAAGCGTCGGCCTGAGCGACGTTACGTGCCATAGAAGCAAGCAAAGCGATACCGTGTTCGGCGGCAGCCACCGTATTAGCAGTCGGAGCATTAACCACCAAACAGCCGTACTCCGTCGCCGCCTGCAGATCAACATTGTCAATCCCAACTCCGGCTCTTCCGACCACCTTCAATCTCCCCTTCGCCGCCTCAAAAACTTCCCTCGTCACTTTCGTTCCGCTTCTCACGATCAAAGCGTCGCTCTCCGCCACTTTCTTCTTCAGATCCTCCGGTGAGAGCTCGTAAGAGCAGTCTACGTCGCCGAATCCCCGGAGGAGATTCACTCCGGCTTCTCCGAGTTTCTCGGCGACGAGGATCCTCGGCTTTGGGAACGATGCTGAATCGTCTTCATCAGATCCGACGGTGGAGAATTTATGATCCTCCGTCAACGTCGTTTGCTCGAAAGTTCTCAGAGCGTTAGTCGCCGTTAGTTTGACGTTTTGTGTGTAACGGAGCTCTGGTAACAAAGAGAGGCGACGGAGGACGGCGAATTTTGAAACTGGTGACAGAGATGGAGATGTCCACCGTGTGTTAACGGCTTTGACGGTTGAACAAGAAGACGAAATTGCCATGATTTTTTTTTTTTTTTTTTTGGTTCTGTGTTTGTTTGTGTTATAGTGTGGCAAAGCGCTAAAGTGGGTATTAAATAGAGAACTAACCGTGAGAGGTTATGGATAAGTTATCATTTAATTTTTTTTTACTTTACGGTCAAATTAGAAATGAGGCTACCAAATTTATTATGTTTGCTGTTGAATTATTTATGTATGGAAAAAGTAAATAAAAATGAGAAGCACATGCACCAAGTATGGCGTTCTTGTCTAGGTGCATCATCGTCTTTCAAAATATGTAATCTATAAGTATAAAGTATTTCTATTAGATACATCAATGCCAAATATTTAGTAGGTAACGTTTTTTTTTTTAATGGTCAGTGATATTATCAAATAAATAACACGTGCAAATAAATTTGTTAACTAGTACTGTCATAAAGTTGAACAGTAAAATATATGGTCCTTTTCCGACTTAATATAATAATACTACTTATTATTTTGGTTAATAAATCACCTCCATGTGCATTCTTATTAATAAAAATAAAATAATTGGCGACCAATCTTTTCTGTGATTCTCCACTAAAAATTATGGAGTATCAATAGCATCTTTACACCATACCTTAATATCTTTTTTGCAGTAAAATAGATTCGGACTTTTCCTTTTTTTCCACATACAATATAAGTAATTTTAAATACTACTCTATACAAAAATCTATCTACATATATACAACAACTGTATATAAAAGAACAAGATCTTGGGATTTTGCAACAAAGAAGACATGAGAGTGAGTGAGGGACTTCTCACTTCACAGAACTTAATTTGACTAATTCAGCTAAATGAGATGAATTAAGTTTCAAATCAATCAGTTTGCAACATCATCAGATTCACAAACGCAAACCAAGTTCGCATTAACCTTTTGTAAAATTGTTCCAAACGCAAATTCAGAAACTCGCTTTACCTTCCTTTCTCTTCTTGCATCCCCAACACACTCAATATGGCTCTTTCTTCATCTATTTTATACTCTAAAAAAATCAAAACTCAAAGCTTGTAACAACTTTCAGAGACTTTGGCAAGAACAAATGAATCTCTCCCGCAGTTACCACCATCAATTTACCATTGAGAAGGCACAAAAGAAACTTAAAACTATTGCAATTCTTAAACAAAGTAATAAGTCCTTTTTGACAAACCTTCCGTTTCATCTTCAAAATCAAAGTTCAGTGCACTCCTTATGGATCTGAACAAATTAGAACCAACGCTTATACCGTCAATTGAAAGATGAAGCAATCAAGAAAATTTCTTATCAAGAAAATTTCTTATTGCCAAAGGCTAAAGCATCAAGTGTTCAATGTATGAGAAGTTAACTCTTGTACTCCTAGCATACAAAATATGCAAGAAAATGGACGTTGATTGGTTACTGAATCACACTGCTTTAAATAGCCGATAAGCTCTGCGTTTTTCAGGCTTGTCGAGGAAAGCTCAAGTGTGAAGCTGATCGCTTGACGTATATACAGAGGTCAGAACTAAATAGAGAGTAATGTAGAAGCATTGAAAAGCACACTCAAAAGGTTTCATATAAACAAAATCATATTCCAGAGTGAGCAATTTACACAAACATGCCCATCACATGTTCAGGGATTAATAGCTTCAACATCTCCATAAAGGTGAAATCCGTAACAAATATTTTTGTTAGATTAATAGCTTCAACATCTCCATAGAGGTGAAATCCGTAACACATATTATCCTCTGGCTTTAAGCTCAGCGAGTCTCCTTGACAAATCGTCCTCTTCAACTTTCTCCTCAGTCTTGGTAGGGATGGCATGACCAGCAGGCTGAGGCAGTCCAACAGAGACTTCAAGACCGTAATCATCTGCTACTTGCTGCATCAAGCTGTTAACTTCTCCTTCTGGGGTGGATAATGACGTCGAACCAGCCATTGCGTTCTCCATGAACTCAGCTTGGACTTCCATGTTCACAAACTGCTTCTCAAAAGAATCCATCGTCTCTGACATCTTCTGTAAGTTGCCTGTTCCAAAAGAACAAATCAGGAGATGAGAAGCTGAGTTGCTACAGTACAATGAATCAGCCAGTGCAACGTCGTTCTAAGAGTATTATATGCACTTAAGCCCTATCCCTCTATATGAAACAATCTCTTCCTTTCTACTAAGTAGACCATTCAAGTCTAAATCACCTCAAAAACATCCTGACACTTAACAAATCAACCTCAAATCATAGTATTCGCTACACCGTAATGTCTGAGACTCGCAATATCAACCAAGGCCAACACTTTCTTCAATCACATAAAAAGGAGCAGACTTTTCCCATCTATAATATAATGCTATGAGCACCACAGAGTCAAAGGAGATGAAGAAACGAAAGTTTCGGTTAATTGAACAACCAAGAAGATAATTGCTGGAGAGTAATTGAGAGTGACATACCGGTGGCGAGGGAAGATTCGAGAGATTTGACGATGTTAGTCATGGATTTGGTGATGGTGGCCATCTTGGCCTGGGTATCGAGCCGAGCGACAACAGCGTCCAAGCGAGATGAGAGACGGAGGTAATTCATCTGCTCGCTGCGCTTGCGGATTGCGTTCTCAGCATAGATGCGAGCACCATCCATGTTCCCTTTCTCAATGGCTTTCTTCACCTTGAGCTTCTCCGACTTCTCCTCTTTCTCGCACTTCCTCGCTTGTCTCTGCAGAGACTTGGACGTAAATTTCAGATCGAAGATTTGGTTCATAAGCTTGTCGGTATTACCCATGTCGATCAGCTATTAGGAATTCGCCTGTAGATCAAAATCAGTCAGAAATATGCAGATCGGGAAATTAGGGCTCCTTCGAATCTGGGAAATGTCTCTCAAGCGTGTTTCTTCCGCAGACGAGACAAAGGTGTGAATTTTAGACCAGGAAGCTGTTAACTTCTTCTTTGTTCTTTCCTAAATCGAACTGGACTGACTGGTTCGGTTATATTCGGTTACGTTTTTTAATTAAACATATATATATATATATATATTTATAATTCGTTTCTGGTTAAGTTAATTACTTACTACTTAGTAATTAGTAATTACACGCTCGTCTGCCTTTCAACTCTTTTTTTGTGCTAAAAGTCTGTCTTTCATCAAGTTTCACTTTTTTTTAATCTCTTATTAAATTATAGTAATACTTACTTTTAATTTTTTAAAATTAGTCTGGTTCAATCGTTTTCTGCCGCTTGGGTAATCTAGAAATTGTTTGTGACCCCAAAGAAAACAATGATAGGTTGAAATTCGCCCTGGTTATGTAGTAAAATAATAATAAGAAGATATGTGAGGAAATGATTTTTCTTAGAGTAAAATGTTCTGATCATCTCCTAGCTCCTAACTCGTACTGTTCTTGCAGAAAGAAAAGAAAACAAAAATGTGCAATGGATAATTATGGATAATTGGCAAAATTAATTATTTAGAAACAGTAGTAACTAGTAATGATATTTATATATTTTCCCCATCATATAACAGATGCAAGCGCGCACCTCCGCAATTAACCAATGATATGCGAAATCAAGTGTCACCGTCCCACTCATATTTACTTGTTAAGGAAATAATGTCACCGCCTGTAACTCTAACGATACTTTGATATCAGGACAAAAAACATTATAGTATTAGACATTAACTTATACGATTTGTTCCTTGGTTCTGGTCTCGAAGAAAGAAAAATAATAAAGGATTGAATTCCAATTTTGTCCTTTTAGAGAGAGAAAAAGGGGAAGGCGTTTTTTCTTCTCTCGTTCTTCCATATTCTACAGAGAGATATCGAAATTCCATTTTCTTGAGAGAGAGAGATAGGGGGACGAAATTTAATCATCGATCAAGTGCTTCAATCGCGAAAATCGATGAGAAAAACTATGGAATGGAATGTGAATCAAGTGATTTGGTTATGCTGATGACGCGATCTTCGATTCTGTGATTGAGATTTGGAAGCTCAGATTTCTATTTTCCCGAAGCTCGGATTTTTATTTTTGTTACCCCTCTGTTGGATAATCTACGCAAAGAAAAATGAACGGTGGTGAAGATGCCGCTTCCTCCGCCGCTACTAGTGGCCCTCCTCCGTCTTTAGAGTGGAGATTCTCTCAGGTCTTCGGGGAGCGAACAGCCGGAGAAGAAGTCCAGGAAGGTAATAATTGCGTGCCGCCGAATAGATTGTTAAATATATTCGAGGTGATGAGTTTGTTTCCCTTTTCCTTTTAGATCCGGAGAGTATTTGAGGACTAAAGGTTTTGATTTGTGGTTTGGATCTGATTTGGTTGATAGGGATTAGTGAGTTATTCCTCTACTGCTTAGTGGACAATTGATGAATCTCTGTGACTTGCGTTCTGGGTTTTTCATTTGCACTGTTAGTAAGGTTTCTAAGTTATCTGAGTCCCTGTATGATAGCTTGGATTGTTTGGGTATGAGAGCATCTCCAACTGATTGTTGTGAGGTTTAAAGCTCTCAGTTTTTGTATATTTTACTTCAGTTCTGTAGATTGGATGTGTTAAGGATAGCATTTAGTTGAAATTAGGAGGGTAATCTAGCTTGAAGCTTCATTCTGTTCAATGCCATAGCCATGGATACTGTTTCCACTGATAGAATGTTTTCTCGACTCTGTAAAACAGCAAAGAAAATCATATGATGAGTTTTGTGTCGAGAGAAAAGTGTGAAGGGCTATCAGTGGTTATGCATTTCTGGTTCATGAATTGAATTTGTAGTGTTAAGGTGGTTTAAGGTTACTCTGTTCGGGCTGGTTAGATTTCCTGGAGTACCAATGTAACTAGTTTGTTTTCAGATGCACGTTCAATATGAGACAAATTTAATCTGCTGTGTCTCAATATTTCTCGAGTTATTGTACGAATTCTTCTTTACTGGTTTATGTGGTTAGCACCTACAATTTAGTGATGACTTCTGATGTCTGTTTGCACAATTTTCTTCCGCAGTTGACATCATTTCAGCCATTGAATTTGATAAAAGTGGAGACCATCTTGCAACTGGCGACCGTGGAGGCCGAGTTGTTCTTTTTGAGAGGACGGACTCTAAAGATGTGCGTTTCTTTTTTTTCTGTTTAATTCAATCATCTTTCACAAAAAATTTTGTGCACTAATGCATTCTTGTGCAATGTTATATTCAGCATGGTGGGTCCAGGAGGGATCATGAGCAGATGGATTACGCAGTTAGGCATCCTGAGTTTCGATATAAAACAGAATTTCAGAGTCATGAACCAGAGGTACATTAAAACTTATCACCAGATTTCACTTAGAATATATGTGTTGCTAGTGCTGCAAAATAATCTCGCTCTCCAATCTCTTTCAGTTTGACTATCTTAAGAGTTTGGAGATAGAGGAGAAAATCAACAAAATTAGATGGTGTCAACCAGCAAATGGTGCATTGTTTCTCCTATCCACAAACGATAAAACCATCAAATATTGGAAGGTGCGACATCTCAATGGGCTTGTATCTTATTTCAAAATATTTCAGGTGTCACATCTGAAAATGGTCTAGAAACTGGTTGTTTATGCTTCCAAGTTCCAAGACTCCGTAAATAAATAAATAGTTTTTGGTTGTCTCCTCTTATAATTTGACTCCTCATTTGGGATCAAACAGGTACAAGAGAAGAAGATCAAGAAAATTTGTGAAATGAATATTGATCCTTCAAATCAACCAAGTCCAAGTACCCCTCCTCCATTAGTTCCTAATGGAGTACTTGCTAAGAAAGAACATGGCTACCTGAGCGATGACTTCTCTTTCCCGCCAGGAGGCATTCCATCTCTGCGTTTGCCTGTGGTAGTTGTACTCGATACAATATTTTTTTTCCTTCTTGTTTGAGTCAAATGAAGCGAAATTTAGATTCAGCACTCTGAAAATTAAATGCATATAGATATCCAGCGTGTTCACTCTATTTTGGTCATTCCTTTAACTTCTCACCAGTGAAAAGATTTGATCCTGATATCTATTTCATTGCTTTGTACTTTGAGACTGGAAGTTGTGAATGTTTTCATCGTGTTGATGATCCTACTACTTAAGTGAAACGTTGGGAATTTACTAGTTTCTCTTGTTTCGTTTCGTCGTAACTACAGATCAGTACCAACTTCGTTACTTGCATTAGTCAATTGGCACTTTGCTTAGAATAATGGGTCGTCCTTCTTATTTAGGTGACTAGCCAGGAGACCAGCCTCGTGGCGAGATGCCGAAGAGTATATGCTCATGCTCATGATTACCATATTAATTCAATCTCAAATAGCAGGTAATCTTTCTCTTAAGTTTTCCCACAGGTTACTCTCGCTATCTTTTTAGTCACGTTTTTACTGTCTTTCTCCTTGATTTTCCATCTGTGGAAACAATGCTAATATCTAAACAATATATTTTAGAATTTTATTTTACATCTCTTTTCAGGTCTTGTCGTGCTACCATTCTCGTTATCGAATTTAGTTGATATTAAATTTCACAACATGTAAATTCATGACTTACAATGCATTGTTTTGTTCGTTGCGATAATGTATGGTTCCCTTATTTTTGAAGCGATGGGGAAACCTTCATTTCTGCTGATGATCTACGAGTAAATCTCTGGAATTTGGAAATCAGCAACCAGAGTTTCAACATTGTTGATGTTAAGCCCACAAACATGGAGGACTTAACTGGTGTGCTTTCTTACCTTGTTTTGGTAGTTATATTTTGTATTGTCTGAACATTGATGCGTATGTCAACAACCTCCTTATTTTTTGAAGTTCTCTTCTTTTCACATTATGCTTGTTGAGCATATTTTTTGATGCTACATGGTCTTTGCAGAGGTTATTACTTCAGCTGAGTTTCATCCAATTCATTGTAATATGCTCGCATATAGCAGTTCAAAAGGATCCATTCGTTTGATTGATATGCGGCAGTCAGCTCTGTGTGATTCTCATACTAAATTGTAAGTTCAGTTCTCCTCATCCTTTATCGAAAAGGGTAGTGTTTTTATGGATATGCAGAGCGGGTTTCGATATGTGCTTAACTCAGGTGAAATTCTAAGTAAGAAGGGGATATGAATAAGTAGGTTAATTTCCAATCTTTCTATTATCTTGTCAGGAATGACTTGGAAGTGAAGTTTATTAGGCCAAAGTTTCAGACCACTGACCATTGTTGTTTCATATCCCAGATTTGAAGAACCAGAAGCTCCTGGTTCAAGATCATTTTTCACAGAGATAATTGCCTCAATTTCAGATATTAAATTCTCAAATAATGGGAGATACATACTTAGTCGCGACTACATGACGCTCAAGGTTGGAATTCATCCGGTTCCCTTGTGTATAGTTTTACTGATTGTAGGCCAATATAGGTGTATACTTCAATTTTTTCTGATATCTTCTGATCTTTACGACGTTACAGCTGTGGGACATAAACATGGATTCTGGTCCAGTTGCATCTTACCAGGTGCATGAACATCTGAGACCCAAGGTGAGGGCTTCTTTCGGCAGCATCTCCTATTTGATGATTCTGTCTTTAAAACTAACCACGTTTTGCCCGGTTGCAGCTATGCGATCTATATGAAAATGACTCCATCTTTGATAAATTTGAGTGTTGTCTGAGTGGAGATGGATTGAGGGTAGCAACAGGCTCTTACAGGTTTGCTTACTTGTCTTCTAGTCAAGACAAGACTATTCTATCTTGTATAAGAGATGAACAAATGACGAATTTATTATATATGCTTTATTTCTTGGTGAAAACAGCAATCTATTCCGCGTATTTGGAACTTCTCAAGGAAGTACTGAAGCTGCAACTTTGGAAGCTAGCAAAAACCCAATGAGGTAAATCGGAAAAACAGAGAACAATAACAGTCAAAAGCCAAGTCACAGAAGTTTGTATTGATCAGTTGCAATTTATCATAGGAGGCAAATCCAAACACCTGCAAGACCTTCAAGATCTATGAGCAGTATGACACGTGCAGTTAGACGAGGTTAGTGGTAGTAGCTACAGTAAACCCCAAAAAAGCTTTCACTGTTTTCTTGTGGAGTAAAAAGTTGTGTTTTAATTGGACGCAGGATCAGAGAGTCCCGGAGCAGAGGCAAATGGTAACGCATACGATTTCACAACGAAGTTGCTGCATATGGCTTGGCACCCAGCAGAGAACTCAATTGCTTGTGCAGCAGCAAACAGCTTGTACATGTATTATGCATGAACTGGAGAGAGAGAAGAAGAAAAAAACATGGAACCAGCTTGCTCCAATTTAACTTTCCCTTTTCTCCTTTTTCAGGCTCTCTCTCTCTCTCTCTTTCTTTCTCTCTCTCTCTTTTAACTACCAAAGTGATGATGTAACCAGAAAAAGTGTAGTAGTAACAGAGTTATGCTGTGACCAAGACCCGAAGCCTGACCAGTCACGGCGACGCAGGAAGCAACAGTATGTCTCTCAGGAGTTAGATGGGGTTAATATATTGGGTTGGGAAAGAAAAAAAAAGAAGGGTAATTGTCTGAAATATCCGATCCACCCCTCCTAAATAGGTTTTTTTTTTTTGGGTTGCAAAGGATAATTTTCATTTTCTTTTTAGTTTCGATTCTATTACTCTTTTAAGAAACGGAAACAGCTTATGGTGTGTGTGATTTTTTTAGTATGAGACGATGGGGAGGGTTGTGCTTCAAATTTGTTTATTGATTCTTTTGTCATATCTTCTTCTTTCCTCTTCTTGAACACATTATGATGCTCTCTATATGTGTCTTTTTTCTTTTGTATTTTCAGACATCCTTTTGTGATTTTTACCGCTACCACAATAAAACAACAAATGTAGTTATATCCTCGTATATTCAGCTGAAGGAAACAGTTCGTCTTGACTATATTTTTGTTTTTGGCACACAGACTCGTAAAATATGTGATGATTATACGTAATAGACAGAAGGTAAACCTGCCAATCAACTAGTTGATCGAGCGAAACGAGTCATCACATAGAATATTTCCAAGTAGAAGAAAATCTATGAGTAAAACCAAAAGCAATTAGAGACACTAGTGTAGAGGTACGCAAAATAGTTGGGATCAGCGGTTCAATCCGTCCAAGGAGACTAGATATCCGGGAAGAGCTCGGTACCGGATCTAGATAGATACGTCGATGTGGGCCGATGTTGGAAACAGATCTTAGTTGTAAACTGACAAAATTTTCGACGAAAGGAGACAGAACACCAGAAATATGTGCAGAGAGACAACGGAGGAAGGCAGTGTTTGGATCATATCTGAACAACCTGTCGTCACTGTCATAGAAGAAAAGACAGCCTTGCTTAGAAACAGCCAAGGGCGTGAAACACCACCACATCAACCGTTCAGGTGTATCGGGTGAAACTAAGCGGTAAGTCAAACTCCAAGTTTCTGGTAGTGCATCCATGATATATATCTCTAGCCTATTTGCATCTCTATAAGTTAACGGGAAACACTTAAGATTCTGTATAAATTTCGGTGCTCGTTATGGTAATGTGTTGATTTCTGATCTGCTTCTTTGATGTTGGATTCTTAAGATTGTGTATAGTATTTGATGCTCGAAGAAATGTATTCAGTTTTTGTGATCCACTATTGTTATCGTTTATGGTGATTCTTAAGATTATGTATAGTATTTGGTGCTCTGAAATTGAATTTTAGATTGGATTCGGTTCCGATGATTCTACCTACATTGTTATCGTGTATGGTATTTTGTGTTCGAGGGTGCTGATTCGCTTAGCTTGTGGTAATTATGGTTCTTAATCGAGCAAAGATCAGCATAAAACTTTGATTCATTTATTTTGTGTTTCATTTGGACTTGTTTCCGATGCAACTATTGTTAGTGCTTTCTGTTAATTTGTGTGATTCATTATTGTTGCTTGGCTTAACAATCTCCAAAGCGGCAAAATGGAGAGATGCCCATCCATTCCTCTCTTTAAACCCTCTGTCACACCTTCTAGTATGGCTACCTTATTTCTTCTCAAGACTTATGTTTCATATTTACTTTTTCTCCAGTTTCAGTAATATTATATTGAGTCGTTTCATTTATTTTATTGAGTCGTTTGAGTCGTTGTGTACATTTCATTAAAAATAGTCTATCATGCTCTGGTTTTTAAGTATTAGTATACTTTGACTCGTAATTTGATTGGTTATATAATTTTTTTGGTTAAAATGGAAAAAAACTTAAAAAACTAACAACTATTTAATATTTGCCAGTTTCATATTCGAACTTTTTCGTTACCAGAAACTTACGCGAACTAATTTTTTGGATCAAAAAACTATTTGAAATATTTTATGGTTCCAGTTTCCACCCACGATTTTACGGCCGTTGACGGTCAAACGGAAACAGTAAACTCCGTTATTTTCTAAAAAACAAAAAAATTAAAAAAACCCTCAACTATTTAATCTTTGCCAAAAAAATACTTGAACTTTTTATGTAATCAGAAATCCACATTAGCTAATTTTTGTTTTTTTAACGTTAAATGACACTTTATTTAAAAAACCAAAATATCAAAGAGTTTACAACAACTAAAAAAAAAGTTGTCACCAATAAAATTCAAAATAAATTACGAGATATATTTTTAAAAACATTACAATATATTTATGACTAAATATTCTGCATATGACTGCTTCATTTTTGCTTTTGGGTTGATTTAATCTTCATTGAGATAATTTTCGTAGATGATCAAAAACATCTATCACACTTTATCTTAGTTGATCACCTGTTAATTTATATTTATTATTCTATTATGAGCCACTGAAATCACCGTTCCAAAGAGTCGATTAGTTAGGAGCTTATATTCAAATCGCCTTTCGGAATAAATGTCGTTTACGATGAGAAACTAACCAATACCAAATGAATAACCATCAGCGAATGAAGCTGGGAGAACCATTAATGGATGTGAAGCAGTGGGGTAAAAACAGAAACTGTATAATATTTCAAGTTTTTTTTTTACACTAGAAAATTAGCTAGTGTTGGTTTTTGGCAACAATTAAAGTTTGGCTATTTTTCTAGCAAAATTAAATAGTTGAGGTTTTTTATTGCTTTTTGTTTTTTTCAAAAATAGTTTACTAACTCCGTTAGACCATTAACGGCCGTGAAATCGTGGGGTGAAAACTGGAACCATAAAATATTTCAGGTATTTTTTTGATCCAAAAAATTAATTCTTGTAGTTTTCTGGCAACACAAAACGTTTGGGTTGAAAATTGGCAAATATTAAATACTTGAGAGTTTTTTAAGCTTTTTTCCTGGTTTAAATTGGTTAAAACTGCACAAAAACTGCATAGCTTTTTATTATGGATCTAATGTATAGATACATCAAAAATGTTACCAAATTATGAATTAATTTGGATTTTTTTAGTTTGTGTTAAATTACAATTTTGATGTATGTCTTTGTTAAATTGATAACTCAAAATTTAATTAAAAAAAAATTGTTTTGATCCGGATCTTCTGATAACGTCAGATAAATTCCATACAGTGTTGTGTTGTCATGTTAAGACTTGTTTGGTGAAAAAAATGCTCTAATTTTCTTGATTCATATTTTTTAATTGATATATTGAAGAAATCAAATACGTAGGAATATTGAAGATGTGGCCACCAAAGAAAGCTGATGATCCTTAACCCCAAGTCATTCCTTTATTTTAAATTTGTCACTCAATCTTCCTTCCAAGTCTCCTCACTAGTGGCTTCTGATGCAATTCCCATATATTTCAAACTCTTAATATATATATATATATATATATTTATTTATTTGATGTATATTTATATATATATATATATTTATTTGATATATATATAATATATATATATATATATTTGATAGATTCAATGTTTTAAGGTTAATCCAACCCAAGTATGAATTTTGCGGTTTTAACTTTTTCGACGATAAAGTGCGTGACCTAATCGATAAAGCCACTACGGCACTACCCATACATATATATATATATATTATTTTCATCTAATTAAGTTGGTATCACTATAAAACAAAATTTTAACTAGCTGATATATATATTTTTTTTGTTTGGCAGAAACAATATATTAATGCAGAATTTTTTTTTTCGACGTATTGCTAAATAATTTTTTTCCTTTAATAAATAAACAAAATTGAGAAACGGATTAGTTATTTACATATTAGTGGAATATTCCTTTATCTCATTCCCGTGTCTTCTCAACTGCCTAAAAATCCAACAGAAAGAACTTTTAACAAGCCAAACTAAATAATACCCACAAAATAAACCAAGAGCCGTCAGCACCGTCGGATCATCACACGTAGTCAATGTTTGACCTTAAACGTCAGAAGATCCAACGGTTTCAAATACGAACTAAATTAGAAGTAGAAAGTTATTTCTTCTTCGCATCAAAAAACGGATTTTTATTCCTCTCCTCTCAAGGTAATATTCCAATGGCATCTTCCGATCAAATCGTATATATCCATCTCTTCCATTTATATATAAATCACGCTTCTCCACACTCCATAATCACACATAAATCTAAAATACTTTGAATCTCTAGTAATTCTGCACAGATTCCTTTTGTCATTTCTTTCTCCGAGAATGGCGGCTAAGACGAATAACAATATTGTCGTCGTCTTCGATTTCGACAAGACGATCATCGATGTAGATAGCGATAATTGGGTGGTCGACGAACTTGGCTTCACTGCTTTGTTCGATCAGCTTCTCCCCACAATGCCTTGGAACTCTCTCATGGTTTGTTCATCGCTCTCTTAGTTCTGCTCTGTTTCTGGGTTTTTTTTTTTTTTTGCAGAAACCTTAAAAACCATATATTTGGTTCTACGTAACAGGATCTGATGATGAAGGAGCTTCATGATCATGGTAAAACCATTGAAGAAATCAAACAAGTCTTGAGGAGAATCCCAATTCATCCTCGTGTCATTCCAGCCATCAAATCCGCTCATGCTTTAGGGTAAAAATCCGATTTTTGAATTTCTTAAATCTTCGTTTGATTGAATTATCCGACGTTAATTTACGATCCGGTAAATCTCCAGGTGCGAGCTGAGAATTGTGAGCGACGCGAACACCTTCTTCATCGAAACGATCGTTGAACATCTCGGGATTAGTGAGTATTTCTCAGAGATTAACACAAACCCAGGACTTGTGGATGAACAAGGAAGATTAAAAATCTCTCCTTATCACGACTTCACCAAATCCTCCCATGGTTGCTCTCGCTGCCCTCCTAACATGTGCAAGGTACCTAGTTATACACCTGATAAACCTTTCTTTTCTTCTTGTATAATCGTCTCAAGTGCTAAGTAATAATCGTATGTTTTATTCATAACAGGGTCTGATAATTGAGAGGATTCAAGCTTCTTTCAGCAAAGAAGGATCTAAGACCAGGATGATATATCTTGGAGATGGTGCTGGTGATTACTGTCCCAGTCTTAAACTCAAAGCTCAAGATTACATGATGCCAAGGAAGGATTTCCCGGTTTGGGATTTGATTAGCCAAAATCCAACCTTGGTTAAGGCTGCGGTTAGAGATTGGACCGATGGAGAAGCTATGGAAAGTATATTAATGGGAATAATAAACGATGTTATATCATCCGATGAAGAAGAAGAAGAAGAAAAGGACAAGATTTTGAGCTCTGATCATTGCAAGATATCTGTTGGGATTGCTCATGAGCCTTTGTTGCCTCTTGCACGTCAAGTTCCTCTAAAACTTGTGAAGTGATTTGATGACGAGGACAAATTAAGGATCGTTGAATATTTTTTTTTTCCGAATACATGATACTACTCTTCATGCAAATGAGAAAAATTTAAAAGATCCTAAAGTTGAATGTAATAGGCTGATTTATCGTCTCAACTCTTCAAGTTGTCTTCTTCATACATAATGCACGAAGTTTTGACCGATCAGTCCATCAAAGATCATGGTTTAGATTCTAAGCCGGCCTCGCCCACTAAATTAATAACGAAGAACACTTGTTTGGCAAATTTTTTTTTTTTTGAGAACCCCATTAGGGGTTCTACCATTGGAGCATGCAAAATCTAAAATTCTGAAGAGGGATTCTTAACTTTAAATTTATAACTAAATATTCATTAAGAACCCCATTAGGATCATTGAACATGCTCTTAAATTCAAGCTTTCAGAACTATAATATCAACCTACTTACTTTGGTTATATCTTAAAAAACAAAATAAAAGGACACCAGGCTATGGCGAGATACTGGGACGAATATTGATTGATATAGGGCACTTTTTTCTTTTCTCAAGTAACTATTGTTTTATTTTGAATGTCATGTAATAATTTTGTAGTAGACACACAAACATAAAAGCTAATAAACAATGGTAGTTATAAAATTTTAGTGATAATAAATTTGGAAAATCCAAACGCAATGAAACAATCAATCTCATAGTCATAATGTGACATGTTCTTCTAGCAAATGAAGATGATCAATTTAACTTAGGGAAGTAAACGACTGGTTTCATCGTCGTTTTGGTACATGTCTTCGGTTTTCCTAACAGCTGCGTGAGACAACACAGCCGCCGCGCCTGCCACGACGGCCACCGCGATATTGAGCTTTGCATCGGTCAAGAAAAGGATGGAGAGAGTGAGAACGGACATGAAGATAAGGACGAGACGGTGGTCGATGTCCCGGTCGAATACAGTGAGCGGTTCGTCACGGAGGAAGTAGAGGAAGAGCCACGCGCCGATTAGGGTGAGTAGGATTAGGAGAGAGAAGGGATTCCAGATGAGGCTGAGGAAGACGGAGAAGAGGACGACTATGGTGTAATTGGTTTGGAAGTAGACGGTGTTGGCTCTGACTCTGGTGATCACGGTGGCTATTTTGCGGGGGAAGTTGAAGGAGTGGAGGTCGAGCATTTGCTTCCATGGACGGCGCGTGGCAAGGCCTGGTCTTACGTTGTGTTGGCCGTTGGCTCGTGTGATGTACTCGAGTTTTGGTGCTAGGTCGTTAGCCGACGTCGGATTTGTGCCGTATGTTGTCATATTGTTTTTTTTTTCTTCTTTTTTTTTGTAATATGGGAGGTAGATATTTTTTTGCTGCAAGTGTGATGTGTTTGTGATATGTGATGAGAAAAGGTGAACAATTGACAGGTTTTATAAAGTTTTGAATTTCTAAAAAAGAAGAAAAAATTAAGCATTTTATATGTATTAAAAAAAATGTGAATTATATGGGGTACATACATAAGAAAATAGCTAATAAGTAGTTATACACACTATGACACTAATAAGACCACGCCATTTTTGTGACCGATTGTTCGGAACTGATCCAAATTAGTGACTATTCCGAATTTCCGATGATTGGTATAATTTTGTACATTGCATAATTTAAGAGAAGTTTATCTCCCAACAAAATTTGTTTTTCTTGTTCTTCGCGGTTTAAAGATCTATATCACGTAATTCGCAAATTGATGTGTTATTCCGGTGAGTGTATTATCGCGATTTCGTTTATCATCTCTAAATTATCTTGATTGGATTGGCTTGCTAATCATGATTGAAATGCTTATGTATAAGAATTAAGATAAAGTAAATGATAACACATTCATAAAATGACGAAGAAAAAATCACAATAGATATACGACGAGGTGAAAGGTGCCACGGGGTAAGAACATGCAACGTTAGCACTGTCTCAATTTATAAAGTGAAAAGAGGTGATAGCCAATGAAAACATGCCACAGGGGACTGTAATAAGAAGAAAACGAGGAGAAAACTGCAAAGGTCATGAAATGCCAGGCCAGAAAGAGCTGAGACTTGCCGAGTTTTTTTTTTTTTGGGCATTATTGATCGATGGACAAGTGAACATGGCTCATTTAACCCCACAACTCCTCCAACTTGGAAACCTTGAATTCTGCGATCTTAACAAAATAAACAATTGATTTTGATGACAATGGTATCATAATTATGATGCTATAAGCCTATAATGTGATTCATTTCCTAAATCTCTTTTTATCTCCTCAGTAAAACAGTTATAGTCACTGCAAACAAAGTTTTTATTTGCGTGAATATCACTTTACATGTTTTTTTTTTGGATAAATACTTTTACATTCAAATCAACATGCAAATAAATAAATAAATTATGATCCTATAAATCTAAAATGATAGATGATGATATTATGAAGATTTCATGTGGATGCAAGATTCGCAATTAAATATTTTGGGTAGACATAATAAAATAGGATTCAAGATCCTCGTTGAATAAGCACTAAAACGTAAATTAATGACTACAAATAAGAATTTATTTTTATTTGATGGGTCCTAAACTTCTTTCCATTGGTTCAGGTCCGGTTTTGCTCAACCATTGGCGTAAGTTAGTAAACACTAAACAGTGTAAGAAAGTTTAGCGCCAAGCCCAAGTAGTTATTTTGCCCATTCAATCCTAATAAACTCGATAAACCCTAAACCCGAAAGAGCTTTAACGGCGTTAGTTGTTCCTCCACCGAAAAACTCCGTCGTCCTCTTCGATTTCCTTCCTGACCAATCGTGATTTCACATCGCCTCTCCCCGAAACCCTTATTTCGGTTACAGGTTGCATATACTCAGAACGGGTTCTGGATTTGGACCGTGGAAACGCTAGAATCATCATCGACATCTGTTAAGCAAAGCGACAAGGCTCAGCTTCCCTCAGATGGCTCCAAACTTTAATTTGGTGTCGAAGAGGCACAGGCCACTGGAGAAATTTGATAGGAAACGGGATACGAAGAAGTCTAAACTTGTTGAAAAGGGGCTTTTTTCCAATCCTCCAACAGAGGATCCTGGTATGTTAGCTCTTTGTTGTTTCCTGCAATTAGTTTCATATTGTATGCCCACTAATCAATTAAAACTCTTTTGGGTATTGTGTTGTAGATTCATCTGAAGGAGACCCTATTGAGGACGAATTGGAACCAATGGTTTACAGAGAACCGACGACGTACGATCATTTGCTGGCATCTCTCGGTTCATCTAACAAGGTTGTTGCTGATATGAACAAAAGAAGGTACTTTTATAATGTCTCATCTTTAAGTTTTTGGTTGATTTGGAAGTCTTTGCAATAGTGGTTATATGTCATGGTAGTTTGAAGATTATAGCATTTATATTCTTCATTCTTTTCTCCGTGGAAATTTATGTCCTTTACTCTTTTAAATTTATTTTTTAAGATTGTATAGATCGTATGTAATAAGTTTCTTGGCATATTACATTTTTACTGGCGGCGAGGGAGATACTAAGTCTGGGTTTTCAAATCTTCTTTACAGGCAGAGAGAGGAGGAAGGTAAAAGCGACACCGAAGGAGATGAGGACGATGAAGATGAGGAAGAGGATGAGAACAGTGGGTCTGAGGATCAAAGTTCTACAGATGGAGAGGATGATGAGATTCAAAGTAAGTATTTCCTTATCTTGTATCGGAAATTATTGCTAGTTTTGCCCACTTATGCCCACATAAGCTGAGACGTTGCATACTTCTGTAAACTTGAAAATGATTTTCTAAACTCATTTCTAGTTACTCACCTCTGGCATATTGGTTCTTAAGTATTCTTGCAAGAGTTGCGCGGTTGTTCAGCCTATTGATCTCTTTTATTTTTATTTTTATTAAAGGGACTGATCAGGGAAGTTTTGGAGATCTTACTGAGAACAAAAAGCAGGAGAACAATGATAATCATAGCGAGGATGAAGATTCTGAGGATTGTGAAACGGATGAGGAGCATGAGTTGTGTACGAATGGCCAATCTTCTGTAGATGCTTCTTCATCTAATAGGTAAATTTAATCTGGATTGTGGTTTCTGTAAAAGTTTCCTACAGTTTGACGTACTCCGTTTCATCCAATTCAAAATTGAAAATCAGACATTTTTTTTTGTTCAGTGCATTTAGTGAGCACCTTAGTCACAAATTATCAAGTGAAGAATTGGAAACTTTACCAAAAGGCAAGTGGAAATTTAAATGGGAAGCACCTGCCATTGACATGCCAAATTGCAGGTGGAAAGGAACAATACAAAATTTCCTTGATGTATGTGTTCTAGAACCTTCTCCACAGAAACTATTGTTGCAAAATTCTCCTTCCAAACTTATGAGTTCCCAGTAGCACTAAAAATATAATTTTGCAGGGTGTTCAGAGTGATGCTACATACGGCCTCAAGCCTAAGTTATTTAAGCACTGGCTTCAATTATACGAAAATTCTGGAGGAAAAGATTTTGACTCATCTAAAAGGAGAAGATTCTTCTCCATTTGTACGTATTAGATTCTGGGAATCACCAAATTCCGATTTCTTTTGTATTGTATATCGGTCTTTTTTTCTTCTCTGTCATTGATTATGGTATTTGATTTTCTAGGCAATAGCTATCTGGATATTTTGCATTCTAACAAGAGGCCCTTTTACATTAGAGGCCCCGAAGAAGACTCAAGTGCCATGGACGCATACCTTATGCATTCTGTGCGTGCACACTTTTATTCTTTTTTCTAAGATCATCTTCATTCCACTTATATTGAAGTCAGATTGTCTTGTGCAGTTGAATCACATTTTTAGAACTAGAGATCTTGTGAAGAAAAATGAAAGTAAAATTGTCAAGCATCGAGAGACGTCTGAAGAGGAAATTCTTTCTGATGATGGATTTCTGGACCAAGGATTTACTCGTCCAAAGGTGACCCCTTCTCCTTTTCTTCTGCAGATACTTTACGTCTTTAAATGTTGTTGCCCGCATTTGACAACTGGTCTTGCGTTTATTGGTATATGCAGGTACTGATTCTACTACCATTGAGGAGTATTGCCTTTCGCGTTGTTAAGAGGCTCATACAACTAACTCCAGAAGCTCAAAGGGTATATTAATATATGAAATTCAGTCATTTATTTTTTAATTGGCGCCTGCTTTGTGAATGTGTTGCCTTGTTTTATGGTACTTAGACATTTCACGGATGAGTACTAGTTTGATGATTAGCAAATGATGTAGAAAGAATTGTGTGTGTTTTTTCCCCGGTATACAGGGTGAATATAGATTTTGCTGCATGGATATTGCCTCGGTTGGTGATTTTTTCATGAGTTGCTCTTTAAATATCATTCATTGGTTTCAGGTTAATGTAGAACACCTTGACCGGTTTAATGCTGAGTTTGGATGTGAAGACGATTCTGATGACGGGGATGGGAAGACATCCACAAATGGGAACTCAAGAACTCAAAAGTCTAAAAAACCTTCTGATTGGCAAGCCCTCTTTGGTGAGAAGAACAGTGATGATGAGTTTATGTTAGGCATTAAGCATACAAGGTATATCTTTAGCCTACATCTCCGTAAACATTGCAGTGAATGCTTCCTGTTTGTAATTAATTTGGTAGTTGGCTGAGACTTAAATTCTCTTGTCCACTCCAGGAAGAGCATTAGGCTATATGGTGATTTCTATTCCTCAGACATGATTATTGCTTCCCCTCTCAAGTTGCATATGGTAGGTACCATTATATACCTTTTTGTAAGATAATCTAGTCCTCTTTATTCGGTCTCTTATCAGTTGTACTCTTACTAGGCCATTGATCAAGCACAAGAAAACAAGGAACGGGATGTTGATTATCTGTCCTCCATTGAGGTAATTTGTTTATCATTGCTTGAAGAAGATATATATAGTTGATAGCTGACGACTGATACCACAGTTGGTCAGTAACATTACTATCGTTTTATATTGCTGCCTGTAGTTGCAAATATTTGAAGTTGTATTCTGCAACTCCTCATTGAACTTACTAATATATATTTCACTTACATGTGGATAGGTTTTGGTCATCGATCATGCAGACATAATATCTATGCAGGTAGGCTGTGGGTTGAATTATAGAGTTTGCAAAGATTGAGTATTATGAGTTCATTTCTTATATGGTTTATTGTAATGTTTCAGAATTGGTCGTTCCTTGCTACAGTCGTCGACCACTTAAACAGATTGCCATCAAAACAACATGGTACCAGTGTCATGCGAATCAGGCCGTTGTACGTAATTCTTCTGAATTCAAGTGTTTCTCTCTAATACGTTTATGTCCCACAGCCCAACTATGTCAATCTCTAAAAAAACCGTCTTATGTTTAGGTATCTGGATGGACATGCACGGTTCTATCGGCA